AAGAAACAAGAAGGAAGACCACATTATGCCAGAAAAAGGTAAAGGGGACAAATAAATTGAACACGCTTTTTCTTAACCTGGCGCATTTTATGAATGCTCATGCAAACTCTTATCGATCCTTAACATTGAGAGTTCGATTTTTAACACCAGTCAATCATTGGTGGATCGGCAACGTCATATCGTCCTAGAAAATTTCCTCAAAGGAAATCGTGTGGTTTAGGTTTTGGCTGTTCCAATGTATTTTTGTCACTAGTTACTCTCAACCTTAAAACGTCCTAAATTGATATAATGCGAGGAAAGAAAATATATGTTTTTTTTTTACTTACCTTTTTACTTTCGTTCTCTTATTCTATTTAATATATTTTTCTCATTAAAATTTTGAATGCACTCCTATCCTAGTCTTTTTCATTTCACTGATTGTGCAGCTTAACTATCATGCATTCTGTGAGAAGATCTAGATTTCAACTCGTCCTTCAGTTATACTGTCAGTTGCAACTGTAGTTTATACTACTTCCTTTGGTACTCGGATCCCAGTGAACAGATAGACTGATCCTTATTCATATCTACACTAATGGCTTTTTGTAGCTACCTGGTACCCAGGGAAGGAGCGCATTGGAGGTCCCCCTCTATAACTTTTAAACCACTAATGATATAGCTGGAAAAGTTACAAAGGACAATATCATAAGTCATAATTTGATCGACAGAATCACGTAATATGACAATTTGTCGAATGTAAGATCAGAAGCATGCGCAGTCGATTCATCGCGCAGAATGTCTATTGTTCTCGGGACATTTACTTCCAGTTCAACAAAGTTTGTAGATCTGTCATATCATGCGTGGAAGCTATGAAAGCGCCTCAACGATTGGTTGCCTTGAACGCACTCGGATGCTCATTAATATGATGCAGGTGGCAAACTAAACAAACGGGACAGTCCGCTATTGTCTCTAACGCTTACTCTTATTCAATCTGCTTCATTTTAGGCTCAATTTGCAGGTACATCATTCATCTTCAACAAAGCCGCGCGTAGGTTTTCAGGATTTGGCTTTTGGAAAGCGGGAAAGCAAGTTTTATCAGCGCAACTTGACCAATTTGAGCCCTTTCTTCTCTTGTTGGGAGCTCTTCTTAGCCAGCCAGCATTCAAATTTGCCGCTTCGCTGATTATGAATAATTAATGATGTCCCTGCATTCTGCGCGATGGATTTTCCTATTATCTGGGGTATTCAATCTTGTGCGATGATATCACGTATTTCAAGTAAATTTCCGGGTTTCACTCAGATTATAAGAGGAGGAAGAAGAGGAGGAAGCCGAGAGATTCACAATTTATGTTTGGCTTCTCTATTGCCCGGATTCGAATAAATTGAGGTGCGAAGATATCGAACAAATCATCCTTTTGATAGTGAAGTACCGGGCAAAGAATACTTCCCTTCAGAGTAAACTGGTTACTCTAGCTTGCTGCTCGTGGGAGAAAAGGAAGGAAAGGTGCGAAGCAAACCAGCTTTTTTTCAAAGCACCGGTCTAAAGTGACTTCAGAACCACATACAAATCAAAGTATTCTTGGCACCCTGATTCGTTAAATTTGATCGTTGTGTCAAAATCTCTGCCTATTGATGTACCTATAAGTCTGTAGTAATTCAGCTGATAATTTCACTGAGTCACATTTGGCCGTTGAGACAAAAGAAAAACGTGGAATTACCGTGGATTCAAGTTGTGTATCGCTCTTTGAAGCTATCAAACTCCTGGCTAATCATTCAACTGAAAAATTATTTGACTGTCACATTAAAGAAGCCCTGATACGAGGGCTACAGGTGATGCTACCGTCGGGTCCAATTGTTTTTAAACCTTTAAAAGTCAAAACAAAACCTATCGAGCACCACATTAAACTGCTGTTCGCTCATTGACCTGGAATATTTTTGAAAATGAATTAGTATTTCTGAAAGGTGCTTTTCGAGTTTTGACGAAAAAATGCTTCATTGTGGCGTTGAATGAATACGGCATACTAGTAGAACCAACGAGGTTTCATCAATGCGAGTGATACCCTTTAATATCCATGCACCGATATATTCGCACCTCCATTCGATAATCGATAAAAATTGTTCAGATTAAAGTAGAGCAGCCAAACACATAAAAATATCTTGTCTTCCTCGGGATTCACCACTTAACTGTTCGTGACCTTGTTGAAAAATGTTGAAGTTACTTCCAGTAGGCAAATAAAGAAATCTGGAAGATAAAACAAGCAATTACTAAAAACTCCTGCCTTGCACTCAAGAAATTTACTCGAAGGGCCTTCCCCTTTTATACATCGCAAATAAACAAAAATAACACATTTTTCCTTTAAAAATGGCTTACCCACCCTAATTTCCAGGAGTCATTTTCATTTTCTTCACTTTATTTATTTTCAAAGAGTATTCTCAGGGCGCTTTCCATTTAGTCAAAATTTCCGGAATTTCCGGTTCGGCGGTAAATGGAACACGTTTCGTCGGCTCGTCCCACTGGAAAATTCCCAGAAAAAGTGGAAAATCTAAAAAGGTGGTCCCGTTTTCCCGGTTGGAATTTCCGAACGGAATGTCGTGTTCCATTGACGTTTCTTGTAGTTTGTAGCAGTTCCAGGTCCACGGTCGGGCACCCGGCCACGTACCGGGGTTTGCGACCAAATGGAACAACTTTTTACCGATCGGAAATTCCACTTTTGCTACCACCGAAATTTCCGGGTTTTTTTCGTAAATGGAAAGCGCCCTCAGTATTCTCTTCTAGCTATGACGCCAGCAGTCACTTTCAAATTGAAACTCCTAATTATATATATATTTTTTCATATGAAGCAAGTGGCACAGCTAAAGAGAAACAAGATATGATTGCAGAATTGAATGTTATGAAGAGATTGAAGCCTCATCATGTCTTGAAGCTTATCGGCTGCTGTAGCATCAGCGGTAAGTCAGTAATATGACACTATGGAGCGTACACTTCGGCATCGTGGCTGTGGAATCAATTGTAAATGCAGAGGAATAGTAAGAAATGATATATGGTGTGAGTAAAGTGTCAATTTGTGAAATTATGGGATTTGTCAGGATATTCTGAAAAGAGCAACGTCCAAGAGGCCTACTATTCAAAAACTAGCATTTCGGCCCAGTTATGCTTCGATGACTCTATACAAATCCTTTTAAACTTGACTCGGGTCCTAACGTTTAAGTCTCTCTCTCTTTTTTTTTTTTTTTTTTTTTTTTTTTTTTTTGCATCAGCCTTTAAAAACAGCATAACAGTCTCATGTAATGATTAAAGATATGTAACGCATGGTTAAGGAGTCAATTACGTTGAGCATGGAATTGGCTTATAAAACTTGATGTTACGAGTTCGACTGTTTTGAAGGGTGGTCGGACTAACACAAGTAAGTTTAATACCAAAGGAACATAGTCTTTACAGAGCTTTAAAACACAGCATCCGGCAACAGACACTTGACTTGAACTTAAGTAAAACTAACCAGCCTCTGCCAATAGTAACAAACTGTCACTTGAACTTCAAAAATCTTACGGCCTCCGCCAACTTTTAAGGCGCACATAACCTCAGATCGTCAGGTGGGATTTTGCTAGCATCGTCAACATTTAGAACTAAGGTCACACTAGGCGATAGGTTGCTCTACAGCGTGAGCTTCGCGATATTCATAACTTGCATACTTTTAAGAGCAATCTTAAGACGTCGCTTGTTAAGTTTGCTTATGGTTAAATGAACTTTAATTGTTACATATCGATATTTTAGATTTTTTATGGTGGAAAGGGTATATATTCCTATTGTTTTGCTTATTGTAAATAGGTTTGTAGTTTTTTGTTTTTTTGTGTTGTTTTGTTTTGTTTTGTTTTTTTTTTTTTTTTTTCATGCTTTTGTTACTAAAATGTAATGCGCATTTGATCATTTTAATAAATACCTGCGCAATATAAGTAATTAAATTATTCAGTTATTATTATTATTAAACACGGAACTTGAAAATCGACCTTCGTCACACTTGACTAAACATAGCACTCCAGCTCGTGGGAAAAAAACTTAGTTCGTTAAAACAACTCGCTTGGAACTTGTATATCGTTTCACGTAAAGAAATAGCTTCTCAACATATTTTGATTTCAGTAACTAATGCAAATCTGCTGATTCATGGTGAAATGTAAACATGCCCTAATCGATTATTCATGAATGATCTAAAAACGTAGAGAACGTTCGAGAAAGTCACGCAATGCATGACAGCAGTTTTGCTACGCAACACTCAACAAAGACTAAACGTCTTTATAGAGCATTTTTGTAACTTTAAATTCATCATAAAACAGTTCGAAACGAGAAAGGAGCGCTCACTAGTGAGTGTTTTTCAACACTCGAAGAGAAATTTGTGTCTCTGCGTGGCCAAGTAATATCCTCCATTTATTCCTCGAGTAAATTAAAGGCTAAACTCGAAGTAATCGGGCAAGATATCTCGAAGTAATTCCGGTCCCATTTCGTGAAATAGCCGAAACAAGCCAAAAAGTCACGAACTTGCGTGCCCAATCTTGTCCCGAAACTAGCGTTTGAAAAATAGCTAAGAAATTATGCACTATCTACTTTGGGTAGCAGTGGCGCAAGCCAAAATAATTTTCTTTCTTCCTCGAATAAGTTAAAAAACAAATCAAAGAAATCGAAGTGATCTCTTGATATCTCGAACTAATTCGGCTCTCATTTGTCAAAAAGGTGAATAAAACCGAAGACCTACAGACTTTACGAGCTCAATTTTGTCTCAAAAAAAGCAAGTTTGGGACTTTGGGACATTCCTGAGCGTCGCGAATCCTTTACTCCGCGCTCCGCCGAAGTAAAAAGGGTTAGCTTTTTCGTCTTCCTTCGGTGCCGCAAATTTCTACGACGAAGTCAGGGTTCGAGGTTGTCCGTTATAGTGAGAAGTGATGCCAAATGAGTGGATGGAAATTGATCGATTTTTTTGATATACAAATCATGTCCAGTGACATACAAATCGTGTCAAAGAGAAAGTAAAATCAACTATTAAAACTGATTCTTAAGTCGTGGCACAAGCCCATTAATAACATGGATTTACAAAGAGATAGGAGTTGCTCTTACTGAAAAGAAAAAAACAGCATGCAAACCACTAAGCTGAAACTTAGGTCATGTTAGGCCCCTTTCAAACGTGGAATTTCTTATGAGAGCCTAACACCTATTTTAGTCGGTGAAAATAACTAGATACGGCAGTTGATTTAGACGTCAGATATAATAGTGCTAAATTTAGCTACGTTTGTTGTAAATATTCCCAGTATCTAGAAAAAAAATGTTATTCAATACGGATAAGGGTTTCTATAATTAATGCATTATATCCGGCACATGTCAAATGCGACTTCTAAGTCAAATGTTGAACCTAAGTCGAATCTTCGACTGTTTCAGTCGCAGATTCGGCAAAGTCGTATTTAATTTGAAACTGTCGAATTTAGTTGATTCAGACGTCGCATCTCAAAGCAGTTACCTCTTGAATTAACTTAGACACATGTGAAATTCGACGTTTGAACTGGGTAATGACAATGTCCAGTATTACTAAAAAATACCGGTAGATACAGTGTACGCTATGATACATACGGCATTTTTTATATTCCTGTAAACTTTGCTTTCGATTTACCACATTATGTTACTAGCTATATGCACCACACAAGTAAAAAAGAAAAAGAAAAAAAAAATAAGGTGACGAAAATTTGCTTCAAGGGGATTCGAAACCGGACGTTAACGCCTCTATCCACCGGACCACCTCGGTAAAAGCTGACGATTCAAGTTTAAAAGAGGTATAAATTCCTTCTCTATGGTGATTGACAGTTTTCAAGGATGACGTTTTCGTTTTATTTTTTTCTTTCTAATTTCCGTGTAGAATTAAATCTTTTACTAATCGAAGCTAGATGTAAAGCTCAAGATAAACCCATTTATATTCTTTCAGGCTTGGTCCATGCCGTGGAACGTTTAAGAAATTTATGAACTATGGATCGCACGGCTACCGACTGAACCGTATGACCGTACGATTCTCTCCCTACTCGTAAGGTGTATTTTCATCGGTCGGGGAAAACAATAAGACAACATTGTTTATCATTATTTCCATAGTTTTAGGTTAGCGTAGCAAACCATTTGGTTTTTAGGTTTAGAAGAGCTGCTACATGATCTCTCTCCCCGGAATAAAGAAAAACAATATGGTCGCCAAATACATCCTTTCTCCTTTATTAACAAACGTTGAACATTTATTTCGGCAAACAAACAGTTATGATGAAAAAGGATTTTACAAAAGTCTCAAAAGTAGGTCTCCTTTTCGATTTTAACTTGCAATGAGTCGGTCAATTTACGCAACTTTTAAACTTCTGGCTCAGTTTTTTGCTTGCCTTTGCTTTAAAAATGGAATAATAATTACTCAAGGACAATGCAGTGTAAAGCACTGTTGAGAAAAACAAAAAAAACTTGCCAATTTAAGAACGAACTAAAAGAATTCAAAACGCTTTGATCACGTGACTGATGAAGTTATGTTCCTCTTTTGGTCAAAAAAAAAAAAATTATCAGGTAGAACATTACTTTCCTGCAAATTTCCTCTGCCTTCTGATGAAAGGTTGACTCTCTACAGCTCTCGGCCTAGTCTCCCGACTTGTTCGCTCATGCTCATCACGCGCTCAAATTTCAAATGCCGGACGTCAACTGGTTACTTTTAAATGCCCAACACATCTAAAACCTCAAATATGCTATTTGTCACAGCAAAAAAAAGCCTAATTCGGCGATAGTCACGTGACTGATGACGTCATTACTTTAAATGTGACATGGGAAGATATTGTATGGCAAATATTATCTTGTTGTGGTCTGTCAGTCTTCTACGTATAACATTGTCAAAGTTATAAGGCTTTTTAAAAAATGCCTCAAAGGATTCTGGGAGATTTTTTATGACAATTACTTTTATAATTTTTTTTATTTTTACTCTAAGGCTCATAGGTTGCACTTTGCACCCTATGCAGCTACTTAAGCTTCAGTCAACCAGTTGTGAACTCTGCTATAATAATTTCAAGTCTGTCAGTCTTCTACGTATAACATTGTCAAAGTTATAAGGCTTTTTAAAAAATGCCTCAAAGGATTCTGGGAGATTTTTTATGACAATTACTTTTATAATTTTCCATTTTTACTCTAAGGCTCATAGGTTGCACTTTGCGCCCTATGCAGCTACTTAAGCTTCAGTCAACCAGTTGTGAACTCTGCTATCATAATTTCAAAAAAAATGCTACTTGTGTTGTGATTGGTTGCTGCCCATGATCTGGTAGAGTATGTCACAAGGACACCGTCACGGGCCGAATATCTCTTTGTTGTTGTATTGTCCAACATGTGGCTTGGTTTGAAATATTTGTCAAGATATTTTTCTTCGAACTGAGCTAGTGAATTAAGGCCTCGATCTCAATCGTTAATGCAAAACTTTCCGGGGCAGCGCCTATTAAAATTATTTTGTCTTCAGAGTGAGTTGTTGCCAACCACTTGTTAGGACAGCGTCATTACTGCAGTGTTAACTCACCGTAAGTGGCTCGAATTTATCGGCCTATGTAAAAAAATATCAGTATGTATTGGAATTAACTTTTTGAATGCGCACACTGCCCTTTGATATGACTCTTACATACTGGGATAGTCGATCCGCAAAGTGTCTTTAAATAAATTACATTAAGATAAAGATTTTCTCGACAAATTATTAAATAACTTATACGCTTTCAGGTCCCATTCAAATCGTTGTGGGGTATTTGCCATATGGCGATCTACTGGGATATCTGAGAAAGAGCGGAGGATATTCAGACAGCTATAACACAGGAGAGAAGAAACCCGCATCCAAGCTCACAGCGAAAGATCATTTGTCCTTCGCATGGATGATAGCTGATGGAATGCAGTACTTAGCCACAATTAAGGTAATCTGCAACAATAGCCTACTCAAAGTGCTTTTGCTTAACACCTCATAATAGGAACGCACAAAAATATCCCCGTTTCGATTTCTGAAAGTTCAACTCATTCTGTTGTCCTTTTCCTTTTAGAACACCACTGTTATGGCGCAATTATAAATACCGGTCTCTCTCGTTTAGGTTACCTTTCTGACATATTCTATCCCTTTCAGTTATAAGAAAACCCTCCACAAAACCAAAAATGTTATGAAACTTCCTTGGATGCATGTTTCAGTTTAAGGGGAGTTTCTCTACCTTTGCGGCTTCTTGGAAGCTAAAAAACCTATATTGCCACACCTAGAGCTTCCTAATTATTTTTTTATTAATTATTCTGTTTGTTGGTTGGTTTGTTTTAACTTTTAGGTCATTCATCGTGATTTGGCTGCTCGCAACATTCTTGTCGGCGAAAACCAAGTGTGCAAAATTTCTGACTTTGGACTTGCCCTTGACGTAAATGATGACATTTATGTGCGCACATCACAGGTAGAATTTAGTCTCCTTTATGTTATAGTTGTTGCCTGTACTGGGTTAAGCTAGAAAAAAATTCTGAAAACAATCTAAAAGAAAAACGACTATTCGCCACATTTTTTTACAGGGTCCAGAGGAGTTTCGTTTGAATAAATGAATTACTTATTTTAAGTCTCAAAAAAGTCTCGCTTAGCACTAATCTACTGTAAACGATTTCTTCGCTTCTTATCTGACCCAGATCGACTTTGTTGTTCGCCATTTTGAAAATCAATAACCGCAAGCCATATCCTCGCTGGCGCACGGCACGTCTCCTGAAGGGTGACCAAAGGCCGTCGCCCGAAGGGCGACCGAGGCACGAAGTGCCGAGTAAAAAAAGTATTTTATACTGTAAGCGGATCTTCCGAGCCCTCAGTCTCTTGGTTTGCGGTCTATAGAATGTGTAACGAAACTGTAACGCGATCAAAATAACCCATTTTTTCAGAGGCTTTCGACGGGTTTTGATGTTCTAACGACAAACACATCTCCTCTGGACCTTGTGATTTTTTTTTTCTTGTTCGTTTGCTTATTCATCTGACAACGCTCTTCTTCTTTTCTTTGCGAAAGGCTCGACTTCCAGTCAAGTGGATGCCTCCAGAGTCTCTCTTTCACAGTGAATCCAGCACCATGAGTGAAGTGTTAGTAGCCACATTTTAGATAGTCTGCGTAGTAAATTACTATAAAATATGCCGTGCTTTTTAATGACCTAGCCATTTTTTTTCTGGACCATGCGTAATTGTAACAAACAAAATGAGCACTTTAGACATTTTAACTGATGGCCGTCCCTTGTATGGTTTACGTATCTAGTGGGTCCTATTGTGAGTTGTGTTAACGTAGAAAGATCTTGAGACTCCCCTTGCAAGTGAGAGCCGAAATCATTTCCGTGTTTAAAGTTTTTTTTTTTTTTTTTTTTTTTTTTTTGGTTTCTGATCTGTGCGATAATCATTATAGAAATAAGGACTTTTTAATGAATTCTCCATAACCAATGAACTACCCAAGGCAAAAGGAATTTTATGTGGTACTTTTTATAGACCTCCGTCACAATCTGATTTCCTGAATCCTTTTCAAGAGGTTCTTGAGCTTGCAAACGCTGCGAATAAGGAAACATTGATCACACGAGACTTTAATTTCAATTTTCTGGATGCATCCTCTTCCAATTCAACAAAAGACTTGAAAAGAATTCTCTCCGGTTTCAATTTGAAACAACTGATTAATAAAGCGACGCGAATCACATAGGAAAGGTCTATCCTACTTGATTTGTTTGCTACTAATATTCATAAAAATATTACTCTTGCTAAAGTTATTCCATCCACTTTAAGTGATCGCGTGCTCGAATCGAATGCAGAAATTTTTCAAACTATGTCCAAATGGCTTTCAGTGAGGATTTGAAGAAATTTTCCTGGGATGATTTTTACAGTGAAAGGGATGTAAACTCCTCTTGGTCGAAATGGAAGGAGTTATTTCTATCAGTTTGTAATAAACATGCTCCTATTCGCCATAAAGTGTTGAGGTGAATTAAATGTCCATGGTTAACATCTACAACAAAGAAAACTTATGAATGAAAATGATTCTTTTCTAAGGAAAGCGAGGAAAACTGTATCTGAGGTCGACTGGGATAGACGTATTGGTAATTACGAAATCAAATTTCCAACAGGGTCAAAATTGAGAGGCGTCGTTATCAGGGAAATGAAGTTCAGGATAATTTGGCCAACCCGAAATCATTTTGGAGAGCTATGAAGAGCATTTTCCCAAACAAAGAGAGAAAATCTTCGACCGTTCACTCTATAATAACGGATGAGGGTGAAATCATCACTAGTAAATCAACTATTGTGGAGAAATTTAACATCTTTTTCACGAACTCTGTTTCCAAACTCCTGGAATCCATTCAAACAACTACCGTTCTTGGTCTCTCTGATGAAAAGTTTACTAATGAAAGTTTTTTGCTTCAACCAGTTTCCCAAAATCTTATTTTTAAGCAACTAAAGGACTTAAAAGTGAAAAAGGCCACTGGTTTGGATGGGATTTCGGCTCAGTTTTTGAAAGACGGTGTTTCGGTTATCGCTCCCACTGTGACACCTCTTGTAAACTTATCGCTCAGTACTGGAATTGTTCCATGTGATTGGAAGATGGCCCACGTCTTTCCTTTATATATGTCGGGTGGACATGAAAGTACGGACAACTACAGACCAATCTCCATATTGCCGATTTTGTCGAAAATTATTGAGAAAGCTGTCAATGTTCAACTACAACGGAATAAGTGTAGTGAACAATTTATCTTCTTCAAAGACGTATCGGATATTCTAAAAGGTGCGAGAGTGGAACAAGATCACCCATTTATAGTCGATATTAATATCATCCTTGACCATGTTTTAGATGGGCAGGGCGGGAATAGCAAAAGGAAAGATTCTGGAAAAATTGTCGAAGACATGTCGGCTGAGCTTGATTTAGTGGAAATCTGGCGCATAAGAAACCCAACAGTCACACCTTTTACTTGGCGTCAAAAGAAACCAGTCATACAAAGGCGCTTAGATTATTGGCTCGTAAGCGATAGTTTACAAGATGAAATAGATTCAGTGGACATTAAAACGTCAATTAAGTCAGACCATTCAGCAATAACGCTCTCTATAAATGGTGTAGATGATCTTGAAAAGGACCTAACTTCTGGAAATTTAATTCAAACCTAGTAAATGATTCGGCTTATTGTGAATTTCTAACACTGAGTATGCCAATTGGCTGGAAGAATTCAAAGACGTACAAGATAAACGTGTCTTATGGGATTTAATTAAATACAAAATTAGACAGCAAACAATCAGATACAGCAAAACTAAAGCCTGCAAAAGAAGAGCGAAACTACAAAACCAAGAGAAAGATTTAAAGGAATGTACGGAAAAATGCGATTCCGATCCAAATACAAAAACTCTGGATGAACTCGAGTGTCTTTGTTCAGACGGAATATGATAGTATGCATGATTACATCACACAAAGTGCGATCATTCGTTCTCGGGCAACTTGGTACTAATTCGGCGAGAGAAATAGAAAATATTTTTTTGAATCTGGAAAACTCCAATAAAAAGAAAAGCACCGTGCGGAAAGTCTTTAACAGGGAAGGAAAGTTAACTACAGACCCTATACAAATAATGAATGAGTGAGAAGTATTTTATTCTGACCTTTATGGTGGTAGTACAAGTGTAGACACGGGGTCTTTTTCCTCATTTTTAAGTCATCTCAATGAAATTCCCTTCTGAGTAGAGGAGAAGAAAAACGTTTGTGAAGGCAAATTGGGATACGGAGAGTGTTACAATGCTTTGCAGACCTTCCAAAAGAATAAATCACCCGGAAACGACGGCTTAACCATTGAATTTTACCTTGCTTTTTGGCCTGTGTTTGGAAGTTTGTTGGTGCAAAGTCTAAATTATGCCTTTGAGTACGGAGAACTTTCAAATTCACAGAAACAGGCTGTTATAACTTTAGTTGAAAAAAGAGGAAAAGGCAAAAGGCAAATAAAGAATTGGCGTCCAATATCTCTTATTAATGTAGATGCAAGAATAGCGTCCAAGACCTTGGCCAAGCGGTTGGAAAATGTGCTACCTGAAATAATTCACTTTGATCAGAGCGCCTTTGTCAAGGGGAGAACCATCTTTGATGCCATCAGAACAACTGACGATGTAATTGAGCATACGATGAACAGAGATATATCGGGGATCTTAGTGGCAATAGATTTTGAGAAAGCTTTTGATTTCCTCAATTTTAGTTTCCTTGTAAGAGTCTTACACGCATTTAACTTTAGTCCTTCTTTCATTCATTGGGTACGAGTCTTGTATAATAAGGTCTCCAGCTGTGTTATGAATAATGATTTTACTTCAGGACCTTTCTCTGAGTAGAGGGGTAAGGAAGGGGGATCCTCTTTCTCCCTAGCTATTAAGATAGGAAACGATAATAACATTCAAGGTATTAGAATAGGGGAAAAAATAGTTAAACTCACTCTTTTTGCGGATGATATGACCTGCTTCATTAAAGACATTAGGTCTTACTCAACCCTATTCGAAACCCTGAGGGCTTTCAGAGCGTTTTCAGGGTTAAAAGTAAACAAGGATAAAACCGAAGCATTAGCGTTAGGAAATAGTGGATCTTTCTGGGAAGGGCATTTGGTCGTGAATAATCTTTGTGACATCATCAAGATTCTAGGTGTTTATTCTGGTGGCGACGCTAAAAAAAGAGAAGAACTGAACTTTTGGAAGACTCTGGAATCAATTAAGAAAACAATTAACTTATGGAAATGGCGAGGCCTTTCTCTAATAGGCAGGATACAAATTGTTAAAACCTTTGCTATCCCTAAGTTTATGTTTAGAGCATCGGCTATTTCAGTCTCTAAGGATCTCGTGAAAGAAGCTGAATCGATCTTTTATCATTTTATCTGGAACGGAAAGGAAATATTTCTCTGCCAGCTTTCTATAGGCAATGTCTGGTTGCATGGTTACATCTATCGGTCCTTTATGGCCAAAAAAACAAACAGCACCTACCGCTAAAGAGAAGCTATCTGCAAAGTATCATCATTTAACTATTGACTGGAAAAGAGGTTACTTATTTTGTTTCCGCACAACATTAGAAACACAACTTAGAGAATTTCAGTTCAATATATTAAGCCGTATCGTATTTACGAATAAGAAACTTTTTCATTTTGGTATAGCTGAATCAGATAAATGTGTTTTCTGCCAAACTGAGGTCGAATCCATCGAGCATTTATTTTTTTCCTGCAAAATATCCTCTAATTTTTTGGAAACACGTCTTGTCCTGGCTAAGAGACAACAATATTGTTGTTGAGAATTTAAAAGAAGAGGATATAATCTTCGGTAAATTTGATGTTGGAGATGATTTCCTTCTAGTTAATCATATTTTATTGCGTGGGAAGTACTACATTTATTCACAAAAATGTCAAAAAGGTATGCCCTCCCTTCAGGGGACCATTGCTAGGACTGGACTTGTTTACAACCATGAACTTTACATCGCCAGGAAAAGAGGCACATTAAATAAACATCTTAGTAAGTGGGAAAAGTTAATCAATATAATGTGATCAAATTAAAAATTAAATATTGTACATAATTATAAAGATAAATACTTTCTATCAACTAGGATATTGTCTGCTGTAATAGTTTTTCTTTTTTTGTCTTTTCGTTTTGTTTGTTTGTTTGTTTTTTCTTTTTACTTTAAGTGTACTCTGTAAAATGAAAACTTCAAATAAAAATTAGTAAATTCCAAAAAAAAAAAAAAAAGAAAGAAAGAAACTACAACGGTACTACAGATGGTTGGCCTTTTGAGTCCATTTCAGTCAGGGTTCACACAACACCATTCAACAGAGAGTGCTGTGATCTATTTCACCGATGAGATAAGAGTAAGTGCAGAGTTAGGAAAGTTAACAGGTGCTCTGTTTATAGATCTAAGGAAGGCCTTTGATTCTGTGCCGCACAATGAACTGTTATCCAAATTGAAAAGATTTGCTTTGGAAAAATTCAATTAATCGGTTTACAAGCTTTCTATCTGACAGATTTCAAACTGTCTCCCTGGATAACGAGCTGTCGAGTCCATTAGCTGTCCTAAGTGGAGTGCCTTAAGGGAGTATCCTTGGTCCGGTTTTATTTACGCTGTATATTAATGATCTACCTATCTGTGTTAATGTCTGTAAAGTTATGATGTATGCTGATGACACAATTTCTTTTTCTCAGCTGCACAAATATCGGAAATTGAGTTACAGTTAAATTTGGAACTTATTAATCTGTCCGAGTGGCTGTCTATAAATTAACTGATTGTGAATTTAAAGAAGACTGAGTTCATGGGTTTTGGCATCCACCAGAGACTATGTCACCAAGACGTCGATGGGGCTCATATAGAGTTGGGAGGAAAATCTGTGAAACATTGTGATGCCTTTAAGTGCCTAGGCGTAGTTTTGGGCAAAAGTCTTCCCTTTCATTTGCGTATTGGCTATGTGAAGAAGAAAGTTTTTAAAAGACTGGGGATGTTCTCAAGAATTAGATCGTCATTAACAACTGAAGCATCGAACCGATTCTTTAAATCAATGATACTACCAAATTTGGATTACTGTTGTTGCCCGTTGTGCTTGTTTGTGTTTTCATGGCTGTGGTAAAGGAAATGAAGAAGAATTGGAACGCCTGCAGAGACGTGCTGCTAGGATAGTGATAAAGATAGTGCATTTCTGAACTGAAGATATGGCTTCCGGCCTTGATTGGGACCCTCTTAACACGAGAGGGGAGAAACATATCGTCAAGCTTGTCAAGAATTAATTGTCTTGATGGACAAGCTACAAGTTATTTCTCAGATAATTTTCGACAGCGAACTTATGATATTCATGACTATTACACTAGGTCTAAGGATAAGTTATCAATTGATAAAGTCAATCTCGAGTTGACTAATAGAGCCCTTTTTATAAGGGGACTACCTTTTTTGTATGTAGTTTTGTTCATAAAGAGGCTACCCTTTTTATTGATTATACGTAATGTATCCCAGTTTCGTATATAATTTGTTTGTTTGGTTGGTTGTTTTTTAATTAAGTTTTTATTTATTTATTCATTTATTTTTTATACAGGACCCATATTGAGAGCAGTTTTTATAACTGAAATGGTCATCCTGTTTAAAGATGTTATTGTTATTATTATTATTATTATGATTATTATTATTATTATTATTATTGCTATTACTATTATTATTATTATTATTATTATTATTATTATTATCATCAGTATTATTATTATTTACAAAATTTTCTTATGCCCGTTCTCTCTTTTTCAGGTGGTCATTCGGAATTGTTCTATGGAAGGTTTTTACAATAGGTAACTGAGGAACAATTGCACCTATATATAACTTACTTTTAGGGACAAAAATAAGTATTGTGATGGTTAATACACAATCCTAAAATATATTTTACAGGTGACTCGCCGTATCCCGGTTTCAATGACACGCAGACGGTGTCTATGCTTGAAAGAGGATATCGGATGCAACGTCCAATCCATATTTCTGAGGAACTGTGAGTAATTTAGTATTATAGCAACCTGAAAAAAGCGATAACCCTCAATTCCTTTCTGAGAGTGTGAATTGTGGTTGTCAATCGATTGATTATTAAAAGGATGGATTGATACGGTGATGGATCGATTCAGTCGATGGACTTAATGTTTGGTGATATTAATAGATAGATCTTCTTTTCATCTTATTTTATGTTATTTTTGTTTTCAATGAGAAGGTAAATCGCCGAGTAAATAGTAAAAAGAATTTCAAGGGTGATAATTATCGTGTTTTCCAGGTTTTCCATTATGTCTGAATGCTGGTCTGAGAAACCTGAAGAACGTCCGACTTTCAAGTGGATCTGCAGTGCTGATAATAGGCTGATAAAAGATACTAAGGTAGAGAAAGCGATTCGTTCCTTTCAATAGCCTTTCTCCTTTAGAGTCCAAGGGCTAGTGTCAAGTTGATGTCTCGCAGAGAAAATAAAGGGTAGGCCAAAACCAACCTCTAAAAGATGGACAGAACCATGCAAGAATTACAGGACTCTTGCCCCCCCAGACGACACGTGGTATGGCGTGATTCTGTGGGTGTTGAGGGTTCTAGGTCAGGGATTAAATCATAGTGCGCGGATATTTTTCATCAGAGCGGCTTTCTTCTGGTTGTTGCGCCATACTGACGAGCCCCCCAAAGGGCGAAACAGCTGTCTATGGCTACAATCCCGCTCTGTTTTCAATTCTTTCGGTGTCGTGTTGATGTCTTGCAGAGTTAATTTTCGCGTAGTACGATCAGCATTGCAGTGTTTTGCTTGCAGAATTTAATATGTCTACTTGTCATTTTTGCTGATCAGGTCTTTATAGATCCTACGTTCTTCGGCATATTCGTTTGCGGTCCTTTGCAGTCCATTGTGGTTAATGTTTGTATGTTTCCTGAAGTGCGCCCACCACCAAATCTATTAGTCTTGAAGCCATTTTCATTGTCGTCCCCGTTTAGCTTTACACGATTTATTTTTATTTTTTTTTGTTTACACGTATTATTAACCAGAGGTTCGCTTTTAGCCCTGGCTAAATCTATATATTATTATTATTATTATTATTATTATTATTATTATTATTATTATTATTATTATTATTATTATTATTATTATCTTTACTTTAATTTATTTTTTTTATCAGCTAAAGTAAAAAACTTTTTCTTTTGTCAGTATATAAACGGAAGATACTTATTCTTGAATAACATATTGTGCTTATTTTGTTATTAAAACAGACTTGCATCGACCTGGATGGGTACAATGATGCTGATTACGTCAACTTTGATATGGCTGAGGGAGTTCAGTGAAATAGAAGCCGAAGGCTTTGCCTAAGGATGAGTCAAAGGATAGAGATAGCTCTTTCGAGTAGCTATGTAATTCAGTTAAGCAGCTTATGCTATCCGCTTTAGATGGAAATAGAGTAAGATTTTTTGACTCCACGCCTTTTATTCAGAAATGGGTGAACAAACATTTGCCAGAAAAGAATAAGATTAGTGAGGACTGGTTTTTAGAATTTTGAACTCCTGGTAAGGTGTATACTGTTGTGTGTGTCTTTGCTTGGTAAATCCCGCCACACTGGAAACTTTTGCCGATCTCTTTCGCCATTAAGAAATTGGAACCCTTTAAAAAACTAGACTTAAACTGTCAGTAGCTGTTGATGCATTCAAGCAGCCATGTTGGTGGTAGAAACATTATCCAGATATCTTAAACGGAGCATGGCATATTTTAAGTTTTTATAATCAAATAGCGTTTGGAAGTAGAATTGTTTAAGGAGTAGTAAATTAAAGAACAGTGCAAAGATTATCGCATAACTTTGCATTTGTGAATTCTAGTTTGAGAACGAACTGAATTTTAAACCTATCTTTTTAGAGAAACTATTGTTTGGAATAGAAACGAAACTACAAAAATCGACAATTAAAATACATTTTAAGACGGGTTTCATATAATTATCTCAATGGAATAAGAGCCTGAAGTCCAATTATGTTGTTTGCAAAGCAAAATGAAGTAGAATCGAGTCACTTTAAAGTTGCAAACACTTTTCAGGCGATAGTTCTGGGTTTTGCCTGATATTTCAATGTCACATAGTAGCCTGTCATCACACTACCAACCTTAGAGCACATGCAAAGAATCTGAGGATGATTTTACCTAGAAAAGTGCTTTTTTTTTTACCAAATGAGCTCGCCGACAAAGAACATGCATGTATGAGAGAATCGTGAGAGACATTTCACTGATTTTTAAAGAATTTAGAGTTGCTCCCTTGTGGTTTCTGTGCAACTTTTAATTAAAATGCAATTATTATTTGGGCGTGACCCAAATAGAGCAATCGAAACGGCTTGTTTTGACGCAAAAGTGCAATAGGCACGCAATACGTGCCAACGTAAACAAGGAAGTAAACAAGCGAAGCGAGGCGAATATCTGTCATGCGAACGTTATTCAACACTACATATTCTCCTTTATCGTTTTCGTAAAGTAAACCAAAATTCATAAAACGTGTCTTCGGAATCTTACGCAAAATGTAGTTTTTTTAATCCTCCGCACTCCCAGGCGGATTCATAAAAACACTCTCGATCTTTAGGAGTATGTCTAAATGTCGCCGGTCGCGACTCGCGGGTAGAGGTCGCGGGTGCGGGTGCGGGTAAGTGTCGCGGGTAAAAATAAATCACCAAATTTTTAAACAAAAAGATAAAATAAACAACAACAAAATTTTGTTAACGAAGACTAGTCAGCAGCACAAAGGAAGACTTATTGTAGTCGTACGCTTTTTCGTTTATCTCCGACGCGTTTCGTCTCCTACTGAGACTTCTTCGAATGAATACAACTAACAAAGAACAGCATATATAACACGTTTTCTGCGTGAGTAAAACTTCGATTGAAGTGAATAATAACTTAACTATGCTGTAAACGGACGTTATAAGAGACGCCTTAATACATATGTTATTGCGTGTTGTTATATTTTGGGGGCCATACGATCAGCGCTAATCGTATGGCCCCCAAAATCTCAACGGAACTATCGAACTCCATCAGGATAAAGAATCGATCGAAGTAAACCTGGAAATGTTCTTCCTTTTTGTCAGTGTGAAATCAGAACTACGAAAGTTTTACCCACGTGAACGGGTATTGTTGCCGTGATCAAGCCGCCGGTAACGTGGGAAAAATTCGGTTTACCAGGATGGCAAATTCTTTCGTGCTACCGCGCCAAAATTGAGCACGAACGACGAATGACAACTCTCGATTCATACTTTTTTGCTGAGGAATTACACGCAAGTCTAATTTAGTGGAAAAAGAAAGTCAAAGCTTCATTTTCGATGAACCAAATTATGCCTTCACATATACATAAGGTAAAAACCATTTCTTTTAAAAGGACAAGTCACATAAGCTGACACTACGTACCCCTACAGTGAATAAAGAAGGGGTCAAGAAGAAGAGAGAAAACATAGGGGATGGTCAAGAATGTCGTTCAAGGGGAGGGGAGAATTTCTTACTTCAAAGAAGTAGCCACCTTTGTAAGATCTTGTGGAGGTTTTAATCATTTCTCTTGGTTTAATTTCAAGAGCTCGTAGTTGAAAAACAAAAAAAGTTCTAATTGATGTATTATAAGGTCTTCTTAAATGTAATAGCTATTTCTAACTCTTTCCTGTCTAACCTATCACAGCACTTAACCCTGGTTTCACTTGCCATTTCCAGATCTTGGGGCGGGGGGGGGGGGGGGGTCTTCACGAAATTTTGATTTTTCCATTTTTCCTCAAAAATGAAGAGTGTACTAGGCATGGAGGAAACAGGATTTAAGACTGATCACTCGCAACACGGTAATGATTAAAAACCTACTGGGAGATTACGCATTTATGCCACCAAAATTAATTTTATTTGTCTTGATTTGCAGAAAAAAGAAAAAAAGAAGTATCAGTTAAAGTTAGTTTTTCAGTCCGATAGCGTTTCGGCTGTTTAAGGCGGGCACTGAATTTTTACACTCCCTTTTCAATACACTTCGCTGCTACATATAGGTAATATAGAGGTCAGCAAAGGGCCAACTACTTTTTTGTAATATTACAACTTAGTAACCTTAAACCCTTGGGCGTACAAAGTAGGGGAGTGGGTGAAATCCCACTCAACAGCCAAGACAAGTCATCACATACCGTAAAATTCCGAAAATAAGCCCCGGGGCTTACATTTTTCAAAGGCTTTTTTTGAGGGGCTTATTTTTGGAGGGGCTTATATTCGGAGGGGCCTATATACGGAGGGAAATTTGCGTTTCAAAATCGATTGGGCTAGCCTTATAGTTGGAAGTAAATATACCGTTTCTGCTTTGTTTTACTTTGTATTTGAGGGCATTTTCCAAGTACAAACCCCCCGGGGGGGGGGGGCTTATATTTGGAGGGGCGATTTAACGGAGGGTTTTTTGCGTTACCGGTTTGGGGGGCTTATATTTGGAGGGGCTTATTTTTGGAATCTTACGGTATCCGCTGATACTTTTCTTTTCTTTTCTCTATCAGAACTTTAACCTCCTCCCCAACAAATCCCAAACGCACGTAGCTCGGTTACTTAGTGCAATTTTAACTAGCCAATGTAGTTTTAATCATGTGGATTTTTCTCTAGAGATTTTTTCCTTTGCATCGCCCTTAGTTAGCTTTAAAGCATTGCAAATCTTCTCTGAAAGATAATCAAATTTTCTTTTATTTTATTAACAAATTAATGTTAAATTTGGTGATTTATGTTTACCCGCGACCCTAACTCGCAACCGCGACCTTTACCCGCACCCGCACCCGCGACCTCCACCCGCAAGTCGCGACCCGCGACATTTAGACATATACGATCTTTAGTACCTCCAGTTTGAACTTGAATTTGCATCACCATATTGACACATGCAGACTTTATAAACAGAATACGCTCCCACGAAAAACCTGAAAACTTAGACGCACGTGATCAAAACATGTTCGTACGGCGCCAGAAACGTTGTCAATTTCAAGAGAGAGACTAACCGACAACGTTTTATTGGCGGAAACTGACGGGTTGAAATGTGAAACTACGCGCAGAATTCGCCGCGCTTCAAGGATGGCAGTAATCCAATGATACCAATTAATCCAAAATTTTTTAAAGAAGCAGCAAGAAGCAGGTTGGATAAACTTTGGCTACGGTATTTTGGGGAACGTATTGTTGAAGTATGTCATCGAGGCTTAAACTTCAAATGCACACACTGTTCGCGGCAGGTCCACACACTCAGTGTTATTTAAAAATAACACTGAGTGTTTTCATAATGGGCTGGTCCTCGAACTCAAAGAAAAACAAAGGAAATTGTCAAGACATTCAAAGAGCATGGACCTCATAGACGCAATGACAAATTAGGAATGTCAGGAGTGTACGTGTAAAATCGATAAGAGTTTGAACAGAAGAATGTGTATCAAGTTTGAGAGTCGCAAGATTTTGTATAGCTGGTGATCAGTGTGACAATAGTGATTTTGATTTTCACAATGTGGAACACGAGGAGTTGCCTGTGATAAAAATCTCTTCCGATGAAGGAAGAGAGGATTGTCAACAATTGAAACCAAAAGGGACTCAGGCTTCTTTGGGAACTACTGTGATAGCGGTAACAATTCTTCTTATTCTTTCAATTTTGTTTAGCAGAGTGACTGTTAATCTACTTGTTTTTGTATTGCGCGTTGTGTTTTTTATGTAATTGTGTATATTGTGACGCGGTACATGTACGATGCTCAGCGTCGGAGTTTTGCGTTATCAGCAAGTTTTGTGTGTTTTGTTGTCAGTGAGGTGACGACAAGAAAAGGTAATAAGTCAATTGTACAGAAGGGAAATTGTTTTGTGGAGGAAATAAAAGAAGTTGAATTGAGATCCCGTCGTGGGAAATTTATTCATAACAGAAGTTACAATCCAGTTGGTTTAAATGAGGTTAGTCATTTTTCTCGACGCGGTTGTGCACGTAGCAGCCGATGAAGAAATTAAAATCGTTAAAAAAAAAAAAAAAAAAAAAACGGAAAGTGAGACTTTTTGTATGAAAGGGAATTCTGAAAATCCACCATTGTCGTCTAAAATTCATTGTTACGTTATTAAAAAAAAGAAATTGTTTATACTTAAACCGGTACAGAAGTAACTGTAAGAGAGTGAGGTTTTTACTAAGGGCAAGTCCAAAATTAGTTCGAAAACAAGGGAAGGTTTATCTGTTGTCTAAGCATAAAAGAAGAGGCTATTTAGGTGGGGTGAGGTATGAAAATTCTAAGTAAGTTTTTTTCTCTCTGTACATGCAACTATGCATTTTATAGTGCTTACGAGAGTTCGACTCATCGGGTTAATTTTGGCCAGTTTAAGCTTCCTACCGATATCGAGAAGAATCCAGGACCTTTTATGTAGATGCTAAAAAAACGATTCATGCTCCATACTGTACCAAGCTAATCACGCAATTTGACAGAAATCGTGGTTTACCAGTATAGCGCTCACTGTTTTTCCATGGAGTTTGAAAGTGAACAGAGTGAATGCCTCCAAAGAAGAAAAAAGAGCTTGTCCGTTTTCGTCCTCGACTTCAAGACGAAAGAAGATGACAAAATCGTTTTGCCGCCAAAGAGTTGGCTTCTAAGTTAGCAGAGAGCGACAAGGGCTCCTACTACAATCAAGAAAAATGGCTAAAAGATGACAAAGCTCCTGAAAAACCCATTGAAACTACCGCGGAATCGAGTGTCACGAGTTCGTTAGCGAGCAGAGCGAGCTATTTAGGCCGCGAAGCAGCCAAGCGAGAGACGAAGTCACGAGAGGTCCCGCGCCATATAAAAATCGGACGAAGTACTGTTTTGAAAGTCTATAATTGTAGCGGGAAACAAGCTTCAAGAAAAACTCCAGGAAGCGGTTTGTTGTCGATTTTTCCAGGGAAGTGTCGAACTTTTAAAAATTGTATCGAGTAAAAGTGGGCTTGCTTAGCTCAACTTGGCTTGCCGATGCGAAAATGAAAACTGCCCGTTGCAAATAACTAATAAAGCTTTCTTGACAACAGAAAGGATCGAACAGAGCAGAGCCTTTGAAGTGAATTGTTGATCTGTTGTCGGGTTTCGTTGTCAACTTTTCCTGCTGTGTCACTATTGTTGTCCCTTCTCTGGTATGCATCAACATTAACAGCTTTGGTGTTATAATCTGTTATAATCTCGTCACTGGTAATACGCCGCCAAATATCTTTTTCCACTGTTTTCTCGAAATGGAAATCAGGGCAAGTTGAGGGTACGTCTTAAACTCCAAGTCGGCAACCCGTGAACCAATTTGGCTGAAATTTGGCCAATAACTGTCAGATAGTTATTCTAAAAAACCGTGTCTGCGAATTTTGATTTCTTTTCTTCGTTTTCGAGTTAGAGTATTTTTTTCACAGGTAGTGCTTATTATTTGCTATCCCTAACTTCACCTGCTTATAACAACAGAACAAACGCACTTGACAAAAATCTGAGACACGGTTTTTTAGTCAAACGTGTTAAGAAGCGAATGCGTTCTTAATTGGCTTCTTCCGATAATTTTTGGATAGACTGGACTTAAAGTTACAGTGACACCCACTTTCACAAAAAGCTTCTCATTTCTAAATCGCGTTAATATTTTAATTTTTTAAAAAGCAATAATCTGGAACTATCAAGCTTTCAGAAAATGTACGGTTTATGGGGGGTATTTGTTAAAAGCAAAAGCGCAAGCGCCGATCAACGCGAGGAGGGTGCTTGAGGATCAATGATACCTTAAAAGCGAACTAAACGAAAAACTCTTTGAAATAGTGGCAAAAGGGGACGGTTACATTAGAGTTTCTGATATTACAGTACAATTCTCAAAATCATAACATTGTGTGGTTCTGGTATTAAGGTGATTCCCTGGTTTTGCACTGCGCATCTCTCACTGCGCATAACAAGATGGCCTCCGTATAAAAGAGCATGTGAAGTAACATTATTAAAATTAAGTTGACCGAAGAGAAACGCATTTGCAATTTTTGCTTACGGTTCTTTCTTGCCGAGGTGAGACTCAATGTGGTGGAAATGTGCATAACGTAAGCAGTACGCGTGTTGCTGAGTTCGACTTCCTCACGGAGAACCTAGATAGTGAATGTTTAATTTGTGCTTATTCACTTTGATTTTCATTTCAACGCTTTCTTTATTACATTGAGTCCTAAATGTGATACCTCGATGTAAATTCTGTAAAAACGGATTTTTTAGTACTTTCTCCCCCCTTTCGCATACTTTCTATTTTAAAACTCTGCCCAGTCCTCTCTCAAAAATCAAGGAAAATGCATTTGGTGCGCACTTTCTGCAGCTCTACCGCAAAAACGAGTACGGTGACCCCCATGTTTTATTTCATGATTTTAATAAGGACAGTGCTTCCTTTCGGTGAGAAAAAAATTGGCACAAATCTATGTTCAGTTTTTTGTCAATTTTAATAATTGTACGGATTGAGCTATCACGTGTCGAATAGCGCGTGTCCAATTTAATTCTACTTTGGAGCGTAAAGTAAAAACAAGGGCATTAAAAGGCATTTTTCTAGTACGTAAGCGGTTAAACAATACATTAAAGTCAAATTCTGTGCGATACCACATGCATCATTGAAAAAACCTTTCCTTTTTGTCTAGTATTGGGCTGCGCGTACTAGCCGTATTTGTCGGCATTGTGTCGTCAAAACGAGCACGGTGACCCCCACTTTTTATTACCTTTTATCATCTTCTTGACTTGTTACATCAGTGTACCAAGTTTCATCTACAATCTATGTTAGGTTCTTTTACTAGGGAATCACCTTAAGTACAGTCAACCTGTTTGTCTCACTCTGGCTCTAAACCACACGAAAAACTAGATTGCTCGTTTACTATATTTAGTGTACACACTCAGTGATTTTGGTTATTTAAGCAACCTGATTGGTTCGCTATCTCGGACAATTCAACAATACTCACCTCCTAGTGAGTGGATAATGTGTAAGCTCAGTGTTTTTTCCCATTTTTTAGAGAAAGATCTTTTAAAAGTCGACAAAATCATGGGGTTACTTTTTTTAAAGCAAGAAAAGATTTCGAAGGATTCAAAACGGCGTTTTTCCATTTACTGTAGCTGAGTTTTGTGCTCGATGGATTGTTTATTCGGGTAGAAGAGGCCGTTTCGTGAACTCATCGTTTCTTAACAAGAAAAATTTGGCCCAAAAAATCGAAGTTTATTGATGAAAAATAAATTTGAAAACAAATGTTTTCAGAAATTCTACTTTTTAAGTAAGTAGGAAAAAGAATGCTACAGAAAGACGACGTCTTGCCTCGAGCAACCGAGCCACCATTTTTGTCGGCACTTCATGTGAAAAACGACTCAACAAACATTTTGGCTATAAACTTGGCGAGTCAAAAGAAAACAACAAAGCTCCACTTTTCTTGTCAGGTAAGAAAACAATTCAAACTTTTAACGGTTTCATTAAGGCATTACGCTGTTTTTTTGCGACGTGATAAACTTGTGAATTGCCATGTTTTAAAATTCTGCAAAGATCCATCTCTAAACTTACGCGTGATTTGATCCGTCAATCAATTCGTACTTTTTAATGGTTTCTTCTCTGAGTTTGCTGAGATCACCTCGTGTATGTGTATATACTAATACAATTATTCTTTTCAATCTCGGTGAATAGTGGCTTTAGAAACGGCTCGGTAAATTTATCAGCCACTTTTCACCTCGATTTCAAAGAATAATTGAAATTTATTTATTATAGAATTTTCTTTTTTCTCTTGTGCCCGCGTCTCGAATAGCCCTCGCTAATTGCAGGAACAAGTTTTGTAAGCTATACTTAACTGGAAATAAACTTCTTGTTGTTGCAAAAGGCGATAGAAGGAACGAAAACGAGACGTACTTTTTATTGAACATTCTTATTTTATTTATTTTTTTTGTTGTGTGAGAGCAGGGAGTACTTTTAAGATGGGGTTTAGTGTTTAGTGTTATTTTCCCATAATTTTTAGTGTTTGTTGTTCAACTGGCAATTTTTTAATGTTTTACTGTTTCCGAAGAAAATACTGTTAAGTGTTTGGCGGGTTTTTCGACATCTTGGGCAATAATTGGACCTCTTCGTTAGTCTTCGGAAATCTTCCACAGTCTTCAGGAATCTGAAATGTATTGTCGTAAAATGGCCGAAAACTCCTTGATGTACTAAACAAAATAATATTGGCCTTTTTGGAGCCGTTTTTGCTTCTTTTGTAGAAGAAATTTACTGTTTCAAATAATTTTTACTGTAAGTGTTAAATGCCTAAAATTCAACTGTTTCATGTTATAAAGCCAAAAAAATGAAGTGTTTATGAGGTACCCCCATTCAGACTCTCTTAAAAATACAACTTGCGAGAAACAGAGAAATCGCTTCCCAATAATTATGTTAAGATTAACCCTGTGCAGACTAAAGAGGACTTTTAAGGCCCTCTTTACTAAAAAAGCAGAAAAACCGTTCAAGCTATGACTGCTGTGGAATGTAAAAAATATATTCATTTTTTTTTTCTTAGCTACTGGGCAAGTGAGTGAAATGCTTTATACATGACTCTGTTAATTATAAAAAAAGTTGGATATCCCGAGCCGGTGCAAAACAGATTTCAAACTTCACCCTACCACCTCTTGTGCGTATAAATACCGTTCGCCCGCAATTTCCATAAAGTATCCATGCTGTCTTCAATACTTTTGTTGTATCAGTTCAGGTTCTTATATGGCTTAATGATAATTGCCTCCTAATGAATAAGTACTTTTTTTCACGGCGGAATACTGACCAGGAGAACGGGCAGTAAGGTACAAGGTTATGAGGAATGTAAAACTGTTCAATGTTTAATTTACTTTATTTAAATTTTAGGTTTAACCGTGACCTGAATTTCTGATTTCTATGGAGCTTTGTTGGTTTGCAATCTGTACCGTACTGGCGTTCATACCATGGATATCAGCGGAAGAAAAGCTGTTGTATCAAACACCAAATGGGAATCGTTGGGGAGGTTGGGAAGCTACCACTAATGGATTGTCTTCTTTGAATGTAATTAAACTAGATTTGATGTTCTTTTTACTCAGTAACCAGATTTTAAGCAAACCATTTGTCAAAGAGTTGCTTTCTTATGGTGTCCGGGGTGCATCATAGTTGATCCTCCCTCACTCTCAAAGGACACATTCGTGAGACGGGCACATTTCTCAAAGTTCAACATATATTTTCTGCTCGTATATCCGTGTTATTATACACTCATTTTTTTTTTTTAAATTGTACTTCTAATCCACATGTGCTGGGCACCATACTGTGCAGTTGTTGTTCTTTAGTTAGGGGTTGACTTCTCGTAACTTAGTATTACAGTATATTTTTTTATTTTCATCCGCTGACTAACAAGTTTGTCTCTTTCTTTGTCTATTTTTAGTGGAATTACCTTTTAGTGTCCAATCATTTTACGGTGTGTAGTTCGTTTCTCCAAGAACAGAAAAATTGGTTACGAAGTCCAGTTATTGATGTTCACAGCATTGATAGAGTGAGCGTTTCCGTCAGATACACAATAACTTCCTTTTGTTCCAGTCAACCATCCAACAGGTTTTGTACTGACAATATTGGAGTCTATGTATGGGAATCCGATGTAAAGGTCAAATCTGATTTAATACCGGACCCCGTGACCAGCAACAGGTCTTACAGAGAATTTGCTACTATCCGCGGTCAGGCTAGCGACCAAACCATCTCTTTAGCACTTCAGCTAACAAGGAGATATATTGTTCTTGGATTTCTCGATCAAGGTGGCTGCAAAATTTTGTCTTCCGTCAGGATTACCTATAATATTTGTCCCGAAACAACACTCCGCGACAGTTTGGTCAAATTGCGGGAAACAGTAGCCCCATCAAGTGTCTTTGAGTCCATCCTAGTGGAAGGAACATGTGCTGAAAACTCTTTCCATATTCGGGGAAGTTTGAATGTTACGTGTGAAAGCATTGGTCAGGGGAATGTCAGTCAGTTTGAAGGGAAATGCGTCTGCAAGGAAGACATGGAAAATATTGGAGGGACATGTACAGGTATGTTTAGAAATCAATACGATCATTAAGGCTGGTTTTACCTACTATCAGTAGAGTAAACAGATGCTTGTTAGTGACATTCAGTTTTATCACTAATACGCCAATATTCATGGATCGATTCTTTATTATGGATAAATAAGCATAATTATCACTACGTCGAAAATGGAAACTTTCACTCTTTATAGCTATGCATAAAATCTTGCGACTATCATAAGTGCAAAACAGTGCGTAAATCTGTTGTAAAGGCGAGAGTAGAGAGACTGCCTTGTGACATTTGGAAGGTTAAAGGTTTGCAGGTTTAAAGCGCGCTTTTCTCACCCAGCTACTTTACAGGTTCTCCATTAAAATACTGTCTAATTAAATTAAAACAAATCATTAAAAAAAACAAAAAAACAAAAAAAAAAGGGTAATAAGTGCTCTGGTTTGCTGTATAAATTGTGTTTAAAGCAGGAGCTGATCAAGGAATAAGGTTTTACGCTAAAATTTTTGTCAGAACCAGCTTGTTCTTTGCAGCTCGATTTACATTAGGTAAGGTGTTCCCTTCTCGACTCAGAACCACGGTTTTCAGTGTTCTCTTATCCTCTGCGAATTGAATTTTAAGCGATAGTTGATCAGCGCAGGGGGTTATATTCTCAAAACTTTTATCAGAACCAGCGTGTTCTTCACGGGTCGATTAACATTGAGCCAGTCCTCACCTCCCGTGAGGAATGCAACGTATTTGCGGACCTTTTGTTTTGAAGACTATCATTATGCCTTTCAAGAGATTCTTTGTCCTGTGACACTCACTCATTAGATCTTTGTATGTTATTCAAGTTTATATGAAATTTTTTATACTTCTGACACATTCCGCCCCATTCTTTCGCTTTTCATACATTTTACTTTACACCAATTTTTTCTTATGTATATTATTACGCGAAATATTTTTCTTATTCCTGATGACGCTTTTGCCCGGAATTTTATTATTTTTAATTTCAGCAGTCAAAGGCCTCATTTGAACTAGATTTTCTTTCTAACGTTTATAGTGTGGATACCATGGAATTTTCCATGAAACATAAGTACTAACTTGCTCATATTTACCAACAAAGCTTCAGGTCATGTTGTTATTGTTTAATACAAGTGAAAACCTAGAATGTGCCAAAGTTGTTGTTTTGAAGTTGGGTGCCATCCTTTTTTATAGCGGAATCCATTTTAAACCTCTAAAATTATGGAAAACAAACAAACAAACAAGAACAAAAACAAAAACAAATTCGCATCGTTGGCACTTGCCGGAAGGTACCCCTAGTATAGAATAACAGATTACGTTCAACTTTAAGAATCCACTCTATAATATTAAAGAAATCTTCTTTTATGTTCCAAAACAACGATTCTAATCACTCTCTTGGGCCAAAAAAGCCCGATTTCTCTATTCTTATGCCGCTTTTAGGGTGCATTTATGCTTGAAGGGTGCGCGACAATGGCTTATTCATATACGTAAATCACCGACTATTTTAAAAATAATAATAATAATAATTAAATTTCGTATTGCGCCTATCCAATCCTGCCCTAGGGACTTTACACAACATTTCAAACATTTAAATAAATAATTAAATTGTAGATGAATTAGAATTGTTATAATTTGCCATATTAACAATAATAAGCTTTTCTAAAAAGATAAGTCTTAAGGTGGGATTTAATTAACAATTACGGCCTTGGCGGATAACACTCTCCGAGATCTCCATAATTCTTCATATGATACGAAAGCCTAAGTCGGTAATTGTTTTAGTGTTCATTCAAAATAATTCTAGTTTAAAAACATAGCTCAAACATGCTTACCTCCATCGATGTTAAGTTCATCTTCGATAGTGCACTTTTAGGGTTGTTCAGCTCCAGAAATATTGTCCAAATAGCAGATGTCCGCCTTCTAGTTGTCTTCTTACTGTTTTTGCCATGATTTTACCTGCTATTTCCCCTAGTTCGTACTCTTGAAACAAATAAAATGTCCGCCATTTTTATTTTCACAACCAAAACAACTCAGCCTCGTCCCCAGGTCTTCTTGGTTAACGGAGCATTAATTTGCAGAGGTGCTGCACTTTTGACGTCATCCGTTGATTAATTGCAAAATTCTTCCAAATTTGGTCATCAGTAGGTGGTTATGATGAATTATGCGTGTGCTTTTAGCCAATCAGAAACGGAGAAATATTTTGAATGAATAATAAATGTACTTAATTGTCACATAAACGGATGTTGTCAGGTAGGTTGTTCCACAGGTCAGGAGCAGCGACAGCGAAAGCTCTAGACCCATAGTACTTCATATTAAAGTTAGCAGGATTCAGGCGTATTGAACAAGATGACTGGAGAGTTATGGGCGGTGTATGGCGAGTCACCAAATTTTGAATTTAGGTGGGTGCTTGTAGGTGTATAGCCTTGAAAGTGAGCAGCAGGCTTCTGAATTTAATATGCTCATGCATTTCACAGGAAACCCATGTAGATCTGACAGAACGGGAGTGACGTGGTCGTATTTGCGAGAGCATGTAATTAGGCGGGCGGCAGCATTCTGTATTGATTAAAGCTTTTACATAACATACTTCGACAGCACATTATACAAGAGAGTTGCTGTAGTCAAGCTTGGAGGAGACAAAAGCATGGACGAGAATCTCGGTAGTCTTGGAAGAAAGGAATTTTCTTATGCGGGAAATGTTAGGCAATGGTAGACGGTTGATTTACAGACAAAATTTTAAAAACACAAGAGATGAATATGACTCTCCCTAATCTACATTAACAATCTTGGAATCGAAGTCCAGATAAACTTATGAATAGGAAAGAAGACCGCGCACCGCAAATGAATCTCGAGCGATTACATCGCTCCTCAACACCTCAGTGATGGCAATGCAGATAGAACACTTCCAAATAAAACCATGTTTAACGGTCGACACTATCATAGGTAACCAAGCGTTAGTGAAGGAGGACTCATTTACGTTAAAAAAAAGATTATTTCTGACATTTCTGAGCTCGAAATGAAATGTACTAAAAAAAGGACAACTTGAAGGCTTGTACTAAAATGGCCTTTGATACTAATTATAGCTTGATGGGCAATTTGCGATAATTGTTCCTTTCACAAATTGCACTAATAGACCTTTCCTGCATCTTGTCAAAAAAAGCGCCAGCTGGAAGCTTGAGTGGACAGCCCACCCGAGCCTCGGCCGCATTTCTTTATGTTTGTTGAATGGAAAGGTCTAATGTCCCCACCCGCACAAGGAAATCAAACCTGTACACGCAATGGAAAGTATAAAACACTTTCTGCATGTATATTAAATAGTCGATAAGATTTTCATTTAAGTCTGTTTAACTTTTTATTTTCTTTAATTGAAATAATATGCAGCTCATTTGTATTCAATGGTCTTAGCGCATTTGTACTATTAGAGATTCGTTAATATCGATAAACTAATAAGAATATTTGGCAAAATTTTCGTTAAAATCTAAGCCACAGAGATTCATGTCAGAATTGCAGTCGATGATCTTCTGAATCTGAAAAACATACATATTCCAAAACGTAATGCAGTTAGTAGTAAAGGTGAAATGTTATTTAAATTGTAAAAAATGCCATTACAACCTTTACCGTGGTTATTTAAATCATTGATTAAAAGAATAAATAAGTGCAGTAGTAGTGGTAGTGGTAGTGGTAGTGGTAGTGGTAGTGGTAGTGGTAGTGGTAGTGGTAGTGGTAGTGGTAGTGGTAGTGGTAGTGGTAGTGGTAGTAGTAGTAGTAGTAGTAGTAGTAGTAGTAGTAGTAGTACTAGTAGAAGTAGTAGTAGTAGTAGTAGTAGTAGTAGTAGTAGTGGTAACCAGTTGGCTATTTATAGGCGTGGCCGAAGATCTGAACTCGGGCCGACTGAGAACAAATCCAGCAAGTGGCCAGAGCGGGACTCCAACCCGGAACCACCGGATTGCGAGTCCGACGCACTGACCACTCGGCCACGCTGCCTCCTCTAACTTCTCTTTTCTTAAACTCTCAACGGCGGGGAGTCTCGAACTTCACTCTTTTGTGGGCTGGACAACGTAAGCAGCATTTTCAAATCAATATTTAAAGTGGGAAAAGCATTTTTACCCTGACGAATATTTCCTTTCTTCACCCGAAACAAAATGACGTTGTTTTCGGGTCGGTCCAGCACTCTTAAGAATCCCACGAACTTACACATTAATGGTTGCTAGCTACCACTGGGCAAGTTTTTCAGGATTTACAAATCTCTAACCGAGTCACTGAGCTCAAGCAAAATCTCTCTGATCCTTTATACAAGGACTGAAATTAACCTAGAAGGCTTTGTAGTTCGTCACAAACATTTTCTTAAAAGGTAATATTGCTTTCATAAAGGCGAACAATTTTCATGTCATGAGAACATCGCGTAGTGTCTCGCCTGGTGATTCGGCCTCCACCTCCGCAAGGCTGTGATACGGCGTGTTGACCAGTGCCTCGACCTCCACATCACCCACTGTTTCGCCAAAATTATTCAGCCTCAATCTCTGCTAGTGTGTCGTCCAGCGCGTTCAACAGTGCCTTGGCTTTTACTTCACCTTGTTTGTCACCAAGTGTCTCGGCCTCCATCTTCTGCCAGCGTGTCATCCAGCACCTCGACCAGTGTTCTCGGCCTTCATGTCCTTACTGTCTCGTACGGTGTCTCAGCCTCGACCTCTGCTACCGTGCCAGCCAGAGCATGAAGTAGTGCCTCGGCCTTTACATCGGCCAGTGTGTCGCCTAGTGTCTCGGCCTCCACCTCTGCTAGCGTGTCAGGCAGAGCATCAATTAGTGCCTCGGTCATCACATCGGCCAGTGTGTTTCTTAGTGTCTCCGGCTCTACCTCTAGTAGCGTGTCAGCCAGGGCATGATACGATATTTCAGATAGTGGCTTGTTCAACCGGTATGCGAATGCTATACTTGGAATCACTGTACTTGATCCATCTGCCTTTGTTAATTGACACTCCACTTTCCGTGTCATAACACCAGGCCCACATGAAGTTGAACACTTAAGAAATGAATAAAGCAATGCCCTACACA